TATTCTGTTTATCGGTTATCAGATGTTCATAGCATGTGATTGGCATATCGTCATGTTCCTCTACTATTGTTTTTGTTTTGGATTTCTACACTAGTCTATGATCATGACCATTTACTATGCTCTGATATTATGGTTTTATGTTATCATGATATAAAGTTTTGGTACCATCATATAAGTAGACCTCTATTTGTTCCATTTGTCTGTCGGTGCTATATTCTGATTTCTGCTGTTTTAGTGGCATATTCTAAGATGTTTCGCTTATGATTCTTAAATGGGTATTTTCCACATTAGGGGTACCCCTTTTCTACCCCAACTAGAATAGAATCCCCTTGAAGGGACCCCCAGCCCTATTTTCGGAAACCCATATTCGTATTCAATCATGAGGCCTTGGCAAACACCACCTGGGCTTGTGCGAAGATGCGCGCTCAGAAGGCCCGCTTGTGGGTTTGTGTACCAGTAGCTGCTTTGCAGCTGCTTCCAACATCTTCCCGAAGCCTGCAGGGACTACACAGGCTATGCTGATGTTGCCATGAGATCTTGCAGAATCTGTGAAAGGAGCCGTCCCAAATACATCAGTGAAGGTGCGTTGAGCCCCGCATGCCGATCGGAAGGAAGGAGAACTGCAGATCGTTCTGGGGCTTGCTGTTGTTGACTCTGATGTGACCGCGTGATACCACGTGGCGCGCAACCCCAAACCGAATGAGGCGTTCCCAACACTAAATCTTGTGCTCCTAGATGCTTCGGTTTTAAGAAGAGGTGCTTCGCGGGCTACAATTGTGCTTCCACCCAGCAACATCCCGCAGCATTCAAGAGGAAAATGTTTCCAGCACCAGAATAGTCGAACATGTAGTCGAATCTAAGCATGATCCAAATTTGTGCGGGTGCTCTTCCAGCAGTCTGTGCTGCCTTGAAGTAGAAGCCAGCCGGTAGCCGAGAAGGTCTAACACCGCAACGATCAAAGCGGCCAAGCTCCTCGATGAAATGTTTGCAATCCTGTAGAGCTACGAAGAAGCGGGCGTACTAAAGTTGCGGAAAGCAAACATTATCTCAATTCAGAAGGATGCGCTTCCGCGAAGCACATTCAAATGCGCCTTCCGTGTTGAATCAACCCGAATCGGCTTGAATCCAAGACAAAGGAGACATCTCCATTGATAAAGTTGTGCTGCCAAACAGGACAGTAGCAAGACTGTGACGTGTTTCCAGTGCTACTAGAACAGTTGTAGTTCCACAAGGCAAGGAATCTGCTTCGGGCACCACGCCCCTTTTTTTGCGCCGACTGTTGTCCTTATGTATAGTGTATGTATGTATGTAATGTGTATTGATATGTATTGATATACATATACTCATATTGTACGTATACATATGTATATATATATATATATACTATACACACACTTGTATGTCGTACTATCTATATATATATATATATGTATATGTACGGTTATATTTATATACAATCTGATATACACACCCCGCCTATAGAAGTGGGAGTTTCCTGATCTCCACTGGGCTCCGTAGAGGATTACCGGCAAGGAAACACGCAGGTTTGTGTGATAACTCTCTTAGGGCTTAGGGTTTAGGGTTTAGGGTTTAGGTTTTATCCAATCTCCAGCTCCCAGCACCAGAAGCTGAAGCTTGGTTTCGACTGGTGAATCTAGCTCAGGCAACCTCGAAGCCCTTCGAAACCCTAAACCCTAAGCCCTAAACCCTAAAACATAAACCCTAAGCCCTAAACCCTAAACCCTAAACCCGAAACCCTAAACCCTAAACCCGAAGCCAAAACCAGCCCGGCGATGCGCCCGAAGGCGCAAGCAATGGTTGAGATTGCAGAGGATGAGGCCATGCCAGGGTCTGGGTTCATGTGTCCAAAATACTTTAGAGGCAGCGGCTCAGCTCGTTTTGCCCGGCCTCTGGATCCCCTTTTCCGGATGACCATTGTGTGCAGTGAACCCATCTCCTCGTTTTGATCTGCAGAAATCGGAAGACTACGCCTCGTGTCCTGAGCGAAATGCTGCTTACTGAGGAGAATGGCTTCTGAACTCAGTATGTTGCTGTGAACTGTGTCTCAGAAGTATCTAAGTCAGCCGAAAAATGCAGGCTCTGCGTCGTCCGCTGCGGACATGGTCCTCACAGGCGGAGTTTCTCCACCGACTCAACGCGTGCCATCAACCAAGCCTCAGACATCTCCATGAACCCCACCCACCCACACACACACACACACACACACACGCACACGCACACGCACACGCACACGCACACGCACACGCACACGCACACGCACACGCACACGCACACGCACACGCACGCACACGCACACGCACACGCACACGCGCAGCACGCGCACGCGCACGCGCACGCACACGCACACGCACACGCACACGCACGCGCACGCGCGCGCGCGCGCGTGCACACGCGCACACGCACACTCACGCACACGCGCACGCACACGCTCAAGCGCACGCGCAAGCGCACGGGCATGCGCATGCATGCACACGCACACGCACGCGCACGCACACGCACGCGCGCACCCACACGCACACACGCACGCATGCACAGGCGAAGGCACAGGAGCAGGCCCGGCGCGGGCGCGGGACAGACACATACAGAGACACACCAAAACGCTCAGATTCTAACTCACATTGACGCGCTCACGCATGCCCACAAAGCAGTCTTGAACAGAAACGTGTCATGTCGCTACTGCGCGATGCATTTGTTCGCAACTGTGAAAAACTTCAGTGTCGTCCTTGTCCTGACTTCACCAGCAGCTCTAGTGGTTTCTCTCTCACCTCAGATTTGCTGGAGTGCCCGAACCATCATACAGCTATTCTCGTGCTGTGCTATCAAGAACACGTCGCAACAAATAGCGGCATGAGACACATCTCCATCGTCAAGTCCCCGAATTGCTGAACCAGTTCCCGGCGCTCCAAAACCCTCCCAAAGCATCCCAATGCCCTAAACCCTAAACCCTAAACCCTAAGCCCTAAGCCCTAAGCCCTAAACCCTAAACCCTAAACCCTAAACCCTCAGGGCTTGGTGACATTGTGCTGGGCATCAGCAGAAGTTCAAGTTGCACCTTCTCGGCTGTCTGAAGCTTGGACAGGATCTTGCATCGGCTTTTCAGCTCTGGGGAAAATTTACCGTCAACCCCAAGACAATTGCGCCCACGCTTGACCTCAAGAGCGAGACGCTGGAGCCGAAGGGTCTGTCTGGTGATTGAACGGATCATCAGACACTAAACGAGGTCTGCCAGCTTGAGTAGCCAGCTACCTGAAAGTCAAAGTGCCACAATGCCGAAGGCTGAAACCTGTCACGGAAGAGCTTCACAGCAGACCCAACACGTTCAACGCGCGGAGCCTGGCAAAGCTGTGCAGAATCGACTCTTGGTAAGGCTTGTCCAGGCTGGTCATCACCGCAGTCACAAGGTGTCACACCACGGTCACTTCTCTCCCCAAGCTTGAACTCTAAACCCTGGGCCCTAAACCCCAAACCCTAAACCCTAAACCCGAAACCCTAAACCCTAAACCCACGGGGGCCCACTCTTCAGGATGTTGACCTCGCGACCTTGGTCTTCGCTTTGAAGGATGCATTTCTTGTGGGGCGTTTGTACCTAGGCTTGGCCCTGGTGAGGGAGCAATGCAAGCACGAGGGCCTTTGATCAGAATGCCATAAACGCAGGAAATGAATGAGCAAAGTGAGTAAGTTTGTGCCCAAATGCCCCCCATCATTTGTTAATGGGCATGTGGCTCGCTCATGCTAATTTTCATGCAGCTCTCTCCTTCTCTCAGCAGATCCTTGCCTGCAGCCCCAAGAAACTGTGTTTCGCAAAGTTAAACCAGTAAACGAATCGCCCGACGCCTTGATCCACCTTCTGCACCCCCAGAGTTCGTCGCCCTGCGAAGGAGGAACTTTGGCCCTCAGAGCATCAGCATGTCAGGTTCGGCGAGGGAAAATGCGTGAACCTCAGCCAAGTCACATTCGGCAGACTCTGGCAGGCAATCCTGCCTCCTCCGAATACGGGCAGAGACCGCCAGGACTCGCTTCGTGCTCGCTTCGTGCTGCGGCAAGCTTGTCCTCATTGGATTCTACGGGTCAAGGAGTATAACATATCAACAACCCGCACTCATTCATGACGTGTGAGTGAGAGAAGAGAAAGATTAAGATGACTTTGTTGTGTCAACCGACTGTTGGTGTTGGTATAGTCTGCCACCACACCGACAGTGGGTCATGACCTTTGTCCCTAAACCCTAAACCCTGAACCCTAAACCCTAAAAACCCTCAAAACCCTCAACCCTATTGTTCCTGGGTCCCTAAACCCTAAAAACCCTAAACCCTCAACCCTATTGTTCCTGGGTCCCTAAACCCTAAAACCTATACCTGGAGACTGATATCAGGAGACATTTGCCGGCCACTTCGGGGATGTTGCGGCGCGCAGCCCAGCGAGTTCGGCAGTTGTCTGGGGAATGACAGGGTTTAGGGTTTGGGGTTTGGGGTTTAGGGTTTAGGGTTTTAGGGCTGGGGTTTGGTGTTTCGAGGTGCGCTCGTTCGACCAGCTCGTGCTCTTGTGTTCAGCAGGGTGTGAGAGAAACTCTAAACCCTAAACCCTAAACCCTAAACCCTAAACCCTAAAACCCTAAACCCTAAACCCTAAACCCTAAACCCTAAACCCTAAACCCTAAACCCGTGTGAGGACACTCTCACGAGATGGCAAGCTCCTGCCGCGGGATGATGCTCAGCCGGAGCAAAAAAGTCGCAGACAGTTTGCATTATATCATATTCTATTATATCATATAATTACTGAATATATCATGTTGATTTATATTCTGTTGTATTTGCCGCACGAAATCGCCTGGTCCGTTGTGCTGTTCTAGCCCCAACAGAATGTCAGATGCACTGCAGCCTTAACATAGCGGGAAGGAGAACCGGCCGCCCGAAACCCGAAACTTGAAACCCCAAACCCCAAACCCCGAACCCTAAACCCTGTTGTTCCTTGATGCTGAGAGGCGTATCGCCTGCATTTCCCTGGCGAACCGGGTGGCCTCCTGCATCAAGGACATGGCCTCACAGCAGCACTCCTTGGGGGCACATTGTCATATTACATTGTATGATTTTGTATGGTAGTTTTTTGTATCATATACATATATATATATATACATATATGTATATGTATATGTATATGTATACGTATATGTATATGTATATGTATATGTATATGTATATGTATATGTATATGTATATGTATACGTATATGTATATGTATATGTATACGTATATGTATATGTATATGTATATATATATGTGAGAGGGACCTTTTGGGTCCATTTCACGTATATCACTTGTATGAGGAATTTAATTTATTTACCTATTAATTTCTTTAATTTCTTTAATTTCTGGGGCTCTCTTAGGGAAATAAATGAAATTAAAGAAATTAATTAATTTCATTAATTTCTTTAATTTCTGGGCCTCTCTGTGCGAAATTAAAGAAATTAATGAAATTAATTAATTTCTTTAATTTCATTAATTTCTTTAATTTATTTTAATTAGTCCCGTGAGCCGGGGGGGCTCCCCCAATTAATTTCTTTAATTTCTTTAATTTCTGGGCCTCTCTGTGAGAAATTCAAGAAATTAAAGAAATTAATTCAGGTAGCCCTTCGGGCTTGCGAGACTAATTAAAAGAAATTAAAGAAATTAATGAAATTAATGAAATTAATGAAATTAATGAAATTAATGAAATTAATGAAATTAATTAATTTCTTTAATTTCTTTAATTTCTGGGCCTCTCTGTGAGAAATTAAAGAAATTAAAGAAATTAATTAATTTCATTAATTTCTTTAATTTCCGGGCCTCTCTGTGAGAAATCAAAGAAATTAAAGAAATTAAATAATTTCATTAATTTCTTTAATTTCTGGGCCTCTCTGTGCGAAATTAAAGAAATTAAAGAAATTAATTAATTTCTTTAATTTCATTAATTTCATTAATTTCTTTAATTTATTTTAATTAGTCCCGTGAGCCGGGGGGCACCCCCCAATTAATTTCTTTAATTTCTTTAATTTCTGGGCCTCTCTGTGAGAAATTAAAGAAATTAAAGAAATTAATTCCGGTAGCCCTTCGGGCTTGCGAGACTAATTAAAAGAAATTAATGAAATTAAAGAAATTAATGAAATTAATTAATTTCTTTAATTTCTTTAATTTCTGGGCCTCTCTGTGAGAAATTAAAGAAATTAAAGAAATTAATTAATTTCATTAATTTCTTTAATTTCTGGGCCTCTCTGTGAGAAATTAAAGAAATTAAAGAAATTAATTAATTTCATTAATTTCTTTAATTTCTGGGCCTCTCTGTGCGAAATTAAAGAAATTAAAGAAATTAATTAATTTCTTTAATTTCATTAATTTCATTAATTTCTTTAATTTATTTTAATTAGTCCCGTGAGCCGGGGGGGCCCCCCCAATTAATTTCTTTAATTTCTTTAATTTCTGGGCCTCTCTGTGAGAAATTAAAGAAATTAAAGAAATTAATTCCGGTAGCCCTTCGGGCTTGCGAGAAATTAAAAGAAATTAAAGAAATTAAAGAAATTAAAGAAATTAATGAAATTAATTAATTTCTTTAATTTCTTTAATTTCTGGGCCTCTCTGTGAAAAATTAAAGAAATTAAAGAAATTAATTAATTTCATTAATTTCTTTAATTTCGGGGCCTCTCTGTGAGAAATTAAAGAAATTAAAGAAATTAATTAATTTCATTAATTTTTTCATTTCTTTAATTTCTGGGCCTCTCTGTGCGAAATTAAAGAAATTAAAGAAATCAATTAATTTCTTTAATTTCATTAATTTCATTAATTTCTTTAATTTATTTTAATTAGTCCCGTGAGCCGGGGGGGGCCCCCCAATTAATTTCTTTAATTTCTTTAATGTCTGGGCCTCTCTGTGAGAAATTAGAGAAATTAAAGAAATTAATTAATTTCATTAATTTCTTTAATTTCTGGGCCTCTCCGTGAGAAATTAAAGAAATTATATAATTTCATTAATTTCTTTAATTTCTGGGCCTCTCTGTGCGAAATTAAAGAAATTAATTAATTTCTTTAATTTCATTAATTTCATTAATTTCTTTAATTTATTTTAATTAGTCCCGTGAGCCGGGGGGCTACCCCAATTAATTTCTTTAATTTCTTTAATTTCTGTGCCTCTCTGTGAGAAATTAAAGAAATTAAAGAAATTAATTCCGGTAGCCCTTCGGGCTTGCGAGACTAATCAAAAGAAATTAAAGAAATTAAAGAAATTAATGAAATTAATTAATTTCTTTAATTTCTTTAATTTCTGGGCCTCTCTGTGAGAAATTAAAGAAATTAAAGAAATTAATTAATTTCATTAATTTCTTTAATTTCTGGGCCTCTCTGTGAGAAATTAAAGAAATTAAAGAAATTAATTAATTTCATTAATTTCTTTAATTTCTGGGCCTCTCTGTGCGAAATTAAAGAAATTAAAGAAATTAATTAATTTCATTAATTTCATTAATTTCTTTCATTTATTTTAATTAGTCCCGTGAGCCGGGGGGGGGCCCCCAATTAACTTCTTTAATTTCTTTAATTTCTGGGCCTCTCTGTGAGAAATTAAAGAAATTAAAGAAATTAATTCCGGTAGCCCTTCGGGCTTGCGAGACTAATTAAAAGAAATTAAAGAAATTAAAGAAATTAAAAATTAATGAAATTAATTAATTTCTTTAATTTCTTTAATTTCTGGGCCTCTCTGTGAGAAATTAAAGAAATTAAAGAAATTAATTAATTTCATTAATTTCTTTAATTTCTGGGCCTCTCTGTGAGAAATTAAAGAAATTAAAGAAATTAATTAATTTCATTAATTTCTTTAATTTCTGGGCCTCTCTGTGCGAAATTAAAGAAATTAAAGAAATTAATTAATTTCTTTAATTTCATTAATTTCATTAATTTCTTTAATTTATTTTAATTAGTCCCGTGAGCCGGGGGGGGGGCCCCAATTAATTTCTTTAATTTCTTTAATTTCTGGGCCTCTCTGTGAGAAATTAAAGAAATTAAAGAAATTAATTCCGGTAGCCCTTCGGGCTTGCGAGACTAATTAAAAGAAATTAATGAAATTAAAGAAATTAAAGAAATTAATGAAATTAATGAAATTAATGAAATTAATGAAATTAATTAATTTCTTTAATTTCTCCAATTTCTGGGCCTCTATGTGAGAAATTAAAGAAATTAAAGAAATTAATTAATTTCATTAATTTCTTTAATTTCTGGGCCTCTCTGTGAGAAATTAATGAAATTAATTTCTGTAGTTTCTCTACTTTCAGAGCCTATCTGTGAGAAATCAAAGAAACTAAATACATTAATCAATTTCTTTAATTTGATCAATTTCATTAATTTCTTTTATTTAAACTAATCCCGTGAGCCGGGTAATTAATTTTTGTAATTTCTTTATTTTCTAGGCCTCTCTGTGAGAAATTAAAGAAATTAACAAAAAACATCCGGTAGCCGCGTGGGGTTGCGAGACTAACTAAAAGAAATTAAAGAAAGTAATGAAATTAATTAATTTCTCTGGCTTTTTAATTGCTAAGCCTCTCTGTGAGAAATTAGAGAAATTCAAGCAATTAACCATCCTCTTTAATTTCTTGATTTTCTGGGCCTCTTTAAGCCTTCGTGCATCTTTATCGCGTTCCCTTTTCTATCCCCTTACTTTCGTGCTGAAACCATCACCCTTTCTTTCCCTTACTTTCCCCATTCATCCCTTAAAGAAAGGGACGCCTTCAAGATGTAGGAAGGATTTTTCATATAGTTGTGTGTACAATGGCTTGGTACTAGCGCTCTAATTTTCAAGAAGCTGTTTTGCATGTAATGTGTGTCACGAGTTTGCTACGTTCATAGGCAGACTATGCAAATACACCCTCTCTAAACAAACCATTTTCCCTAAACCCTGAACCCTAAACTCTAAACCCTAAACCCTAAACGCTCAAAGACTCCTACGGCCTCCAGGCCCTCTAAGAATCCCAAGTTCTCTAAGACTCCCAAGCCCCCTACACTTCCTAAGGCCCCGAAGCTCCCCAGGCCCCCTGAGCCCGCCAAGCCTCCTTAAGTCCCGTAAGCTCCCTAAGCTGTCGAAGCCCCCTTACTCCCTAAACAATTTCGCAGAGCAAGCAGACAGAATTTCAGGACTACAAGCAATCGGTCATGAGCTGTCCTGCAGGCAACGCCTCCACCCAAAGCGTAACTTAAAATTTCCCTGATGTTTCCCTGTTGCGCTTTTTTTTGGCCCCGATTGTTTCAGGGAAGTTTTCCCTTGAAACCCCTGTGTAGTACTCAACGCACCGCAAATCGATGCTTTCGGGCCAATCGTCTTCTAGTTTAAATTAGTCCCGTGAGCCGGGTGGGCTCCCCCAATTAATTTCTTTAATTTCTTTAATTTCTGGGTCTCTCTGTGAGAAATTAAAGAAATTAAAGAAATAAAAAAGAAATTAAAGAAATTAATTCAGGCAGCCGTTCGGGCTTGCGAGACTAATTAAAAGAAATTAATGAAATTAAAGAAATGAAAGAAATTAATGAAATTAATGAAATTAATTAATTTCTTCAATTTCTTTAATTTCTGGGCCTCTCTGTGAGAAAATTAAAGAAATTAAAGAAATTAATTAATTTCATTAATTTCTTTAATTTCGGGGCCTCTCTGTGAGAAATTAAAGAAATTAAAGAAATTAATTAATTTCATTAATTTCTTTAATTTCTGGGCCTCTCTGTGCGAAATTAAAGAAATTAAAGAAATCAATTAATTTCTTTAAAATTCAAACAATAAAGAAATCAAAGAAATTAAAGAAATTAATGAAATTCATGAAACTAATTCCGGCAGCTGTTCGGGCTTGCGAGATTAATGAAAACAAATTAAAGAAATTCACAATTCATTAATTTCCGTAACTTCTTCCTGTCTGTGAGAACAACAAGAAATGCAAGAAGTTAATTCCGGTAGTCGTTCGGGCTTACCAAAAGCAAAGGAGAATCACGTCCCATTGAAAGATAGACGAGTTGTGTCTTTGTACGTTGCGAGG